TCCTTCACTGGTTAAAAGTTGTTTTTTGTCTTTTACACAGAATTTTGATGTATAATATGACTGAAAGTGCAAGAAAATTAAAAAAATTCTCTTCTTTTCATTAACTGGGAAAGAAACCCAGTAAAGGAACACTTGTTCCTTCCCTGGTTTTTCATCGTTTGGTGATCCAGTGAATAAACACCCCCTTATCTCAGTACTTGATTATGCTATGGTGCTATAAAAAAATAAAACGTAACTTCAAAATCTATATTTTGAATTCTCTTTTTCACAGTGAGAAAAATAAGTCGATGTGTAACATGCAATTAATTCCACTTTAAACATATAAATACAAACGCTCACCTTATAATTTTTTCAACGAAACAAGGTGTTGCAGAGATAATAACAAATTCAAAATTTTTCCAGAGAAGTCTATTTGACCAGGTAATCCAGAACATTGCTAGATGACTTCCTATTGTTCGGCAGTAAGCTATTGTTACCAATCAAACTGAAAAAAAACTTTCAAATTCTTATTTTTAATCAATATACATGAAATGTTCCTTCACTGGTTGGTTTACCCTACTTAGTTTAAAGTATCGTTTATCCTTTTACTGTGTAACTTCATTTATTTTTGAAGCAGTATATGCGATTCCGGATTTCGTTAAATTAGACTCCACATTACTCTAAGTTAAACCCAACTTTATTAGGATAGCATGACAATATTGTAGTTTAAATTACAAAAATACCAAGCATTCAAATTTTAAACTCACTTCGTGTGCCAAAAACTTAAGAGAACTTTTCATTTTTTCCATTTTAACACATTTTTTATTTTTTTATTCGCCCTATCTGCAGGCAAAAATTTCGACAGTTGCTCTTTCTAGATCTTATGAGACAAAATAAGGTTTCTATTATTTTAATCTGAAATTTTGCTTTCAAATTGAATATTTTCATTTTATCTATTAAAACACGAATAAAAGGAGTTACTTATTGTTCAATTAGAATAATAAACAATAAAAGCACACTAGTTTCATAAATTCCATTTCAATTAAACACAAACCCACTATGTACAGAAAAGATATTCTACTTTTTATAAGTTAATCCACAGAGTATTGAGAGGGAGCTATTTTCTTATAATTTAAATTTTTAATGAATAATTTGAAATATCTTTATAAATTATGTTTGCTGAAAAGTACTTTAAACTTAATTACACCATTATATGTTTCTATGTTTGTAGATATTTTTAAAATTTTTCAAAAGTTCACATTTTAAAAATATTTACAGCCTTGAAAATTTAAAACCTGGTAATTAGATTGATTAGAAACGATTTAACAAAAGAAAAAAAAATTCGCAAATATTTCATTGTTACTTAGTGAGTGAGGAATTTGCAATCATATAGTTTTCCGTAGGTTAAGAAGGAGAAAGCAAAGTGCCTTTATGATCTGAAGAGGACCTTTCTGCGTTTTAAAGATAATAAAATTTACAAGTTGTAATTGTAATCTTGATTATTGCATTCAAAGTACTGTTTGCTTGTTTTTGTATGCTTTTAATAGATAGAATGAAAACATATATTTTTCACGATATTATCAAACATTACTAGCTATCTATTATACAAAAAAGTGAGATAATTTTAAGCAGCCAAAAGCATTTTATCCGATTGTAACGTCGCAGGTCTCTCTTGTTCTAATTAGCAAATTTGTTTTTCATTTGCAGATATTCTATTAAAATTAACAGATGACAAACTCGAACAAACAAACTTAACCTGAGCGAAATACCTTTATCCAAGTATTGAGAAATCTAATTTTGGTAAGTAAAGAGTTAATAAAGGGTGTTGTTTTCATTTTATTTTAATATTTTCCTAATTAAAGTTATTAATATGAGGTAACTCAGCACTTGTATTTTCTAACGAAATCTTTCTCTTTTTTGATATTTATTAGCAAAGATAAAATATCTAATAAAAATCAAGTTATTTTCTAATTTCCAGCTGCAATATTTAATTAAATTTCTTATTTTTTATACTTTTCGGCGTAATAAATGTTTCAAATATGACTTTGAAAACTGTCAAAACATGAACTTGGACTTTATTATAAAAGAACCGTTTTTACTCATTTATGGTTTTAAATGGCTTATGGTTCATTTGTGAAAGTAAAGTAGTAAAAGTAGTTTGAAGCCTCTTGCCAGAATATTCAGCTCAATAGATGTTCATAATTTGCGAAAGTGTTACGGGATCAGGGTTTTGTGTACGAACTGACCTCTCGATTTTATCCCAAAAATATTCGATGAAATTCATGACAGCTGATATAGTTGACCAAATCATTCGCTGGAATTGTCTAAAATGTTCTTTAAGCAAGTGGCGAACAATTAAGGCCTGATTTTCATCTATAAGAATTCCATCGTTGTTTGAATCCATGAATGACTGCAAGTGGTCTCACAAAAGATGAACATAACTATCCATAGTCAATGAGTGGTTTAATTTTACAATAGGACCCTGTCAATACCATGAAAAAGCAACCCAGGCCATTATCGAGCCACCATCAGATTGCACAGTGCCTTGTTGACAACTTGGGTTCATGGCTTCTTGGGGTTTTCGTAACTCTCGAACTGTCCAATCAGCTTTGATCAGCTGAAATTGTGACTCATACGACGAGTTTTCATGTCTCCTAGGGTAAAACCAATGTGGTCACTAGTCCAGGAGAGGTGCTAAGCGTAATGTCGCTCTGTTAATAAAGCCACTCGAGTCTGTCTTCTGCTGCCACATTTCATTACAGCCATATTTCGTTGCGGTATACTTACTAACACAACCCTTTCTAGTCTCGCATTGATGTTTGTGGTCGTTTCAAGCAATGTTACTTGTCTGTTAACACTGACAATTCTAAACACACGTCGGAAGTCTCAGTCATTAAGTGGAGGCAATCAGCCACTACGTTGTCCATGGTAGGAGGTAATGCCTGAAATTAGGTTTTCTCAGTACACTCTTGACACTATAGATCTAAAAATGATGAATTTCCTGACAATTTCCGATATGGTATGTCCCATTCATTTAGCTCTTTTTACCGTTCCACAAGTTCTGTTCTAAGTTTGCCAATTCTTGTCTTATTGTCATAATTGCATCAGAAACATTCTCAGATATATATACATATATATATTCAGAAACCTTCCATCTTTTGAAAATATTTTAGCACTCACGAGGGCCTGTACTTCAGCTTTTATGCATGGTGAAAGATCGCCTTTCTTCACCCATAATGAAAATGTTCCTATTGATTATTTATATACTACGCACAATAAACAAGTAACTTCGTAGTATAAAACTGCGAAACAACTAAACAGCCAAACAGCTAAACTACCAAAACACGTCCGCAACTGAAACGGCTTTGTACTTGTTAACGTTCGTGTATCATTTGGTCAATATTGTAATGCAATATGTTAAAAATAAACACACACAGGAAGTATATAAAAAGTCTCCTGAATAAAAACTCATTACACGTTTGTTTAGATACAAAAGTACTATAAACTCGTGCGAAACATATTATATACAGGGTGTTGCAGAGATA